GAAAAAATGAGTTTCCATAAAGAAACTTTCAGAGTGTACAACACTATATGCACTATACGATCATTTTGGAAAAGGATGCAATAACATCGAATAAATACACAGAAAGAGGGATATCGTACAAAATATGGTAATGCTTCAAATCATATGTATGAATCACTGATTAAGTACTGAAAAACAGAAACCATCGACATAGTTTCATATTTTATGGGTGCAAGTTTATAAGAAATTGACTTAGACGCTAATAAGTTTCTTGATAATAAACAATAAAAGACACGATTTACAATTACTACTGCTATTCGGAAAAGCAAAATTTACACATCTTAAATCTCATGTTTGAGAGATTTACACAAATTACTTTTCTTCATAGCTTTAACTGATATATACTAACCAGCATCAAAGACGCAGCTAGGATTTTCAGCAGTGCCCGGGGACAGCTGAAGATTTTGCACCCCTTCCTGTTTGTCAAGAATGGAAAATATTTCATCCTAAAATTTTATAGCATCAATTTTGCACCTATGAACAGGTGTCCCTCTCTAACCACTGACCAGCATGTATAATCAGCTAAATTTGACTTAGATACATGTTTAATATCATTCTTTTTCTGGTAACTTTATGTTTAATACCATGTTTAATTAACTAATTATTATACACATAGGCTCAATTTTTTTTTTTTTAACAAACATAAATTTAACTTACATATGCTCTATGCTTAATGTCATGCTGTTTCTCCAAACTTTTGCTAAATATACTTAACAACCTACATTTGACTTATATGTGCTTAATATCATGTATGTTCTGCTAACTTTATGCTGAACATCATGTTTAAAACCACTAATAGATATTAACTGAGATGAATGCTATTTCAGTTAATTTTTTGAATGAAAACGGTTATATTTTAATTTACGGAGATATAAAGTTACACGACACAACATGCTGAATTATTCATACATCGCATATCTCTTTTAGTTTCAATTTATGAGAATATCATGAAAATGCATTATGAGTAAGTAATAATAAACTTATGTGCATGAATTTTAAAAGTTACTGACTAAACATTAAAATTTGTATACTTGGCATAATAAATATTTAAAAAAAATACCTGAAGCTATATCATTATCAAGGCATTTGTTAACTCATCCCATAACCTTCACTTTATACATAAATTAATTAACATTTGGTTTTCACATTAACAGAATCTTCAAATACGGAAAAAATAAACATTTAAAATATACTATTCGGTTTCGAGGGCCGTAAAAAAATTGCAGCAAAAATGTATGCGCAAAAGCACCAAATCTAGCAAACGCGCTCATTTAACAGCGCACTAAATCTAGCGTATGCGCTGATTTCAGATTGCGTAAGTTTATATAGTTCTATATTTCTAAAGACGCCATTGAAATACTAGTTTAATTTTTAAATCCTCTTTTTGATTTGAAATCCTTTTTTGATATCCTATGGATTTAACAATTTGGGCCATGGCGAAAAGTCGGCAGTAGAATTTTGGGTAAAGTGCAGAATCACCCACTGCTTGACACGTTTTTAAGAATTGCACATACTCAGTATCGATGTGCATATCGACCTATTTTTCACTTTAAAAAAATATCTTAGAATTGCACAAAAATAGTACTGCGCACACCCTTGACTTTATCTATGTACACATCGACCTATTTTCACTTTAAAAGAAAATTGACTAAAATGCAATTGCTTTTACCCTTGTAAAAAGCGGCAAACAAATAAGTAAGCGATTCTGCACTTTACCGAGAATATTTTCAAAGAAAAGGCATCATTCATTATAGAAAATTACGTTTGAACAACCAACAAGATGAAATTATGCTTTAGCGATAAGTCGGTAGCGAAATAACGATGAAGGCATCCATTCAGTTATGTTCAGCAATTTTTATATAAATTATAATAATGATCTGAAATATTTATTTACTCTTATGCTTCCATTCAGTCATGTTTAGCCTTTGTCATATAAATTATAATAATAAAAAAAGTATATGAAATTAACCTTTCATCTAAATTAAAACATCAATCTTGAATAGTTATTTACTATTATACTTCCTTTCTTGCCGCAATTTATTTTTGGCAGCATTAGCATCAACAATAGTTTGGAGATTTTTTACGGCCCTCGAAACCGAATAGTACCAAAATGGGAAACATGTATATTACAAAAATTTTAAAATTCTTTCATTAAATATCTTCTTAACTTCAATATTTTTTATCTACTTCCACTTAAGACTGTGAATAATTTTACTAAAATTTTAAAAAATTATGTTTCATCAAAAAGAAATCAGATTCTGAAATTAAGAAAGTATCTGTTAATGCTAATTCCCATACAGGTTGTTCTTTGAATTAAAACCACAGATATAGTGACAAAGTGCCAAATGTGATTAGTGTCTAGTCAAATAACAAAGTTACATTAGTAAAGGAACCATTGAGAGAAAAAAAAAAAATTAGGCTTTGGATTCTTATACTGATAATTTATGCCAAGTTTGAAAACTGAGCATGAACTGCAAACAGAAAGTGAAACATTTCTTTTTTTTTTTATACACAAATCTTTATGCTTATAAAATAAGTGCACATCCTTAAGTTAAAAATTAAGTTTCTTTCACAATTGGATAAGGAGAAGGAAAAAGTTTCTTGAACAAATATCTAATATACATGGATTTCTTATCTGCATTGAAATACTTCCTAAATATCTTCTAATATATTTCATAAACATAACATTACTCAACTTGGTAAGTTCAAGATTTGAATGAAAATTTTAGACCTCACTTCTCTTTTCTAATATGACACTATCACATGGTATCACTGCACACATTTTGTGAATGTTTGACTGAAGCATTGATAGTGGAGTTTGATGGCCATGGCCTTGATTATTTGATCACACTGAAAGACAGCACCTAATACATTCATTCATGCAAAAGGAAGGCATTTCTATTACTAATGGCAGAACTGCGACAGGTATCTGCATTAAACTCAAGAAAGTTAAGGTTAAAAAGCAAATGCGAATTACAGAACACATATGGGATGAAACATTCACCCATGCTTCAGAATTTCAGTATCAGAAGTACTTCATGGTGGTAACATACATATTATCTCCAGAACATATTTTGGTAGGCGACAGATGTAAATACTGAACATATATGAGTAGATAGTGAACAGTTATCATTACATAAAAATGTCTTGAAAACCATTTGTATGCAGCTACTACAAAGAAAAACTTTATTTGCCAAAATATCTCTGGGTTTGTTTGAAGATAATGAAAGCTGTATATTATGCCTGCACCATCAGAAGCAAAGTCAGGAACTGGTCTTGTAAACCAAGAACATTTTGTGTGTATCTTGTCCACAATGTTTAATTTCTAAACATTCTCCACATTCAAAGTGCAATTATTGTGAATATTTCATTTTTGAAAAGTAAACAAAAAATTACAAACTGCAGTCATAAACAGAATATCACAAAACATTATATTTCACATCTTTGTACTACTTAACAAAATGCAGAGAAAAGTGCAATCCACTCTAAAAGACTGTAAAGCTCTAGTATAGAACTGAGTACCCTTTTGATTAGCAACAAATTTCGCTTAATTTTGGCGATGAAACCTAATTTCAGGCTACCGATGTAGTTTTAACTTTCTTTTAGCTTCCTGATTTTTCAAGTGAAAATAGATCGGTATGTACATGGACACCAAGCCTGTGCAATGACTTCTTTGGTTTTGTACAGTGGCCATCTTGAAATTTTGTCTTCCTGGTGCCGATCTTAGCACCAAAAAGGAATGGCTAAAAAAAACAAGGGGCACCCAATTGTAAACTTTTACCGATTGTTATTCGGGAAGGACTACAAAAAAAGAAAAACCTATCAAATTGAACTCCAAATCAGAGGAACAGTCCAAACTTTTCAATCTGGCTACACATAGGTTGTTTTAAATCTCTCTTTCATTACAAATTTATCTTGCATAAATTAAATTTTTTCTCTAGAAGAAATAAATAAATAAAACATTACTACTTATTTTGATCAAATAACAATTTATGTACCTCACACAGGGCCAGTGATAGGCTTTAAGCAACCTGACATAATCTTTGCAAATTCTCAATTCCGCCAATAAGTAACTCTCTTCAGTCCAAAAATTTTGGCACTCTACATTCTGCTATCCGGTGCAAATAAACCAGCCCTGACCTCAGCTAATGAAGTTTTCTTGTTGTGTGGACAAGTTCTATTGCAACATTGTAAGGCTGTTACTAATCGCAAAGAGAAAGAGGATTTTTTCCCTCTGTATACATGTTTCTTCAAATTATTCTTCTGCCCAAATAACTTGTTACATATATAACTCCTGAGATTTCTCTTCTAAGTGGATATACATATTTAAATCATCATTTAGTATAAAGGAGATTTTACATACCTTACATATATGGGTCTCTTCTGTATGAACAAACATATCCATATTTAAATAATGCTTTGGTCTAAAATGACCTCTCGCATACGATGTTTCTCTCCTATATGAATACAAACATGCATGTCTAATTCATGCTTTTGACTAAATGACTTCTTACATACTTTTCATACATTCTTCTTACATTTATTTATGCACAAGACTTCTCTCCTGCATAAATAATTTTTTTTTTTTTTTTCAATTGAACTTATGATTAAATGACTTCTTACATACTTCACACATAAGAGGTTTGTGTCTTGTGCGTATACACACAATATATTTTCATTTATGCTTTTGAGTAAATGACTTCTTACATACTTTACAATCATGAGACTTCTCTCCTGTGTATATAAACATGCTTTTTTAAATTGAACTTTTGATTAAATGACTTCTTACATACTTCACAGATATGAGGCTTCTCTCCCGTGTGAATAAGCATATGACTGTTTAGATGACCTTTTCGACTAAATGATTTCTTACATACTTCACACGCATGAGGTTTCTCTCCTGTGTGACTAAGCATATGGCTTTTTAAATAAGACTTTTGATTAAATGAACTCATACATACTTCACATGTATAAGGTTTCTCTCCAGTGTGAGTAAGCATATGACTGTTTAAATGAGTCTTTCGATTAAATGGTTTTTTACATATTTCACACACATGAGGTTTCTCTCTTCTGTGAATGCTCATATGCATTTTTAAACTACCTTTATGACTAAATGACCTTTTACATACTTCACACATATGAGGTTTCTCTCCTGTGTGAACAAGCATGTGAGTGATCAAACTAGATTTGCAACTCAATGATTTCTTACATACTTCACAGATATGATATTTTGCTCCTGTGTGATTAACCATACGATTTTTTAAAATTCCCTTTCCACTGAATGATTGATGTGATTTCTCATATACATGAGATTTCTTTTCAGTATGGGTATGTATATCTTCTTTTAAAATACTGCTTTTTTGCATAATTGCTACGTACCTAAAAGATGATTTGTTACTAAATCAATTGTTCCATACCTAACAGAATATGAAACTTTAGCACTATACAGGTAATTATAACTGAAAACCTTGATCAGAGGCGTAGCTAGAAGGGGGAAAGTGGGGACACCTGTCCCCGGTCGCAGAATCCAAGGGGCGCCAAATTGATGTTACGGCATTTTAGAATTAAATGTTTTCCATCCTTAGCAAGCAGTAGGGGGCACGAAATCTTCAGTTGCCCCTGGGCGCTGAAAACCCTAGCTACGACTCTGACCTTGATATCATATCATTTCTGCATATCTAACCATAATATTCATGGTCTGCAAGAATGTAAATGAGTTGCATAACGGAAATTTTACCTAGAATAATTCTTGAATAATTCACATTAGCTTCTGGTGCACAAATACGGGTGATTATAAAAATATTACGTCATATTAAGCATAAAGCTTTCTTACTGTTAAATATAAACGTGGCTTGATTTCCAAGAATACTTCATAAAACGTTAATTTGTTATATTTCACACATATATGATTTCTTGCCGGAGTATATGTTTATTAATATGTTTATTATGAATTCCTGCAATTATGTTATATAAGCTAAACTACATCTCTCTGAAGGATGAGATTGTAATGAAAGTCTTGCGCATTTTCAAGCAATCAGCAGACAGACAGAATAAACAGATATCTTCTTTTGCAGCTGCTAAGTCTTCCTCCCGCACGGATAATAAACAGCACCCTGGTAGTATTTGAGTTTAAAGGTTTTGATACATAAAAAATGTATGAACAGCATGTACTGAAATGAGAGCTTCGATTGCAGTCTTTTGTAAAGCTCAATCAAAGTCAATCTATACTCATAAGTTTAGTATTATAAGTCGGCCTTGGCTCAACCAAATAATGAGCTCAACGAAGAAGGCGCTCACATCGCGAACACCCCAGTAGATTCCGTTTCCGGCATTGTTATGTTTGTTTATGTTGCTGTTGTGAATTTATTTTAGAATTGTTTAATTTTTTCTTTTATTCTGATGAATACAGAAGTATGCATAAAAGGAAATTGAGTCAGTGTTGTGTGGTTGTGGGCTGTAGCATGACAGCTAAAACTAATTTATTATCTAAAATAAAAATGTTCTAAATACTCCGTGAGGAAAATACTCCGTGAATTTTTACTCCGTGATTTTCCAAGAAATCCATTACGTAGACACCTGTGGGAAGTTGCGGTTCGTAGAGCAAACTGGACTGCGAATAATTCGACTGCTCTATGCAGTAATCATTTTATTATTGGTAGGTAATATGTAGGTAAAAGCGCAGAATAGGCTGCATCAACAAAGTTCAGAAGGCGGAGCTGTGTGACGTCCATAAATGGGTGGGACTAAGCTTGTGACGTCACAATGTGTTCTGCATGGACCACATAAGAAATAGACTAACCCAAACGGGTTTTCTCCCTCGTCTGTGGCGTTGCCGGCTGTCACCTTGATCACATCCGCAGGAGTAGGGACGACTTTTTGGTCATTTAACATTGGTTTCCTATTGCAGCGTGTATAATTAACAAGAAAAGCTGTTTGTAGCGCCTCATTTCACAAATTAGAATTTCTCCATATTTTTATTTTTGAAATTGAGATTGATTTTTAAAAAATAATATTTTAAATCTGATCTAATAGAAAATTTCAAACAAGCAATTTTCTCTTGCAATTTTTATGCTTTTTATTGGTGTGTAAATAAGTAAAAAGTACTAAAATATTTAAAAACGAATTTTTGAAAGTTTTGTTTAAAATTCTAAATTGTGCTGCTTTTTTAAAATTATAGATGAGTATTATAGCACAATTTCTATAAAGGAATTTTATTTCAATTATATTTCATAATACATAGTGATAAACACTTTTGACTCCTTAAAAATGTTTATACATTTAATTCTAATATTAAAATTGTATTTAACCGTAATAATTAATTTTGCGGTGCTTATTTTTTTTTAAATTTATTTTTAGTTCTGCATAAGATTTTTTTATTAACTGTTAATTTAATTTAATAGCTCAAAGCAGCGATAACCTAGAAAGTCTGTTAGTTTCGAAGCGACATTTTGCGTTGTTTTACTATAAGTGTCCATGTCTCCTTGCAAAGTGTTGTTACCAAATATTATCGCCTTGTATCATATATAAAGAAATTAAATAATGAAGAATCTGCATGAATACATGTATGTTTCTTGCACTGTGACAAAAACGACAGTATCTAGAGCCATCAAATTTTGAATAATGTAATCCTCCACCCGAATATAGGCGCCAGCCGAATTTCGAATTTGTTTTAATCTATTTTATATTTTGTAAAACTTTAACGAATTTTTGATTAACAAATTCAACGAGTTCAGAGTGAGCACTGTACGGAAAATTACAGTTTTATTTCCAGTACGGAAATTCTAAAGATATGCTGTTTTCAAATGTATGTGGTTTACGGGCGAAGAACATGATATTCAATAAATATAGGTAACACAAAACTTTAAAAAAAAAAGATTCCTTTTGAATGTAAAATAAAATGTGAGTGCTCCTAGATTTTATTTTATCTTCCCCCCCCCGTCATTACGCTCAGAAAAATTTTATGCTCTGAATTTTATGAATTATTAAAATAACTAATCCCCTTTAATGTTAATAATTTATTGATCCTATAATCAATTAAATAGGAACGTTTTGTAATGTTATTATACTTTGGAGAATCACTGCCTGAAAATGTTCATTAAAAAAAAAAAAAAACTATCAGATCTTGTGTAATTTTACCTTATTTATTTCAAAGTATCCCGTACTATCAATCTTATTTAGTTTTACTTTATTTTTACGCAAAATTAAGTTCATAAATTTTGTGCTTAGAGTTTTTACCGTTTTACTAAAGTAAAAATGCTTGTACAAGAATTACGAGTGAAAAAAATGCGCGAAATGCAGTAAAAAGTGCTTTAATGAGATATATTAAATCCTATTTGGAAAAAACTGTGGCTTTCATAATCTCATCACTATACAACGTATCACATTTAATAATTAAAAAGCGTTACGTGATACAAACGCCATAGGTTTCAGTGTTAAAGTAAACCAGATCGTCCCTACTCTTTCTCGCCGACATGTCGGTGACGCGCGCCCCACCCACTGGGTTGGTCTACCTCTTATAAGGTCCATGGTGTTCTACCATGGACGACTCTATCAGACTCTATAGAGTTGGCTGTGGTGTTTTCCACGGACATTATAAGTCATAGACCAACCTAGTGGGCGGGGCGCGCGTCACCGACATGTCGCAAGAAAGAGTAGGGACGATCTGGTTTACTTTAAGACTGAAACCAATGGCGTTTGCTGCACTTTTTACTGCATTTCGCGTATTTTTTTTCACGCGTAAGTCTTGTACAAACATCTTTACTTTGGTAAAATGGTAAAAACTCTAAGCATAAAATTTATGAACTTAATTTTGCGTACAAATAACGTAAAATTAAATAAGATTGATAGTACGTAGATACTTTGAAATAAATAAGGTAAAATTAAGCAAGATCTGATAATTTTTTTAAAAATTTAATGACCATTTTCAGGCAGTGATTTTCAAAACTATAATAACATTACAAAACAAACATTTATTTGATTATATCATCATTAACTTATTAACATTAAAGTGGAATATTTATTTTAGTAATTTATAAAATTCGGAGCATAAAATTTTCTGAGTGTAATGAAGGGAAATGAACTGGAAGTTGATCTGTCAGCACTATCCTCATCTTCAGGGCAGATGTTTTATTGTATTTGGCTTATAATTCCTTACTAAATGTAGTATTTCATCTCGATGTACACCGTCTTTGCTATGATTTAAATCAAATTCCTCGTCATTATAATTCGCTTCCGATAAAGAAGAAAGTGACACAGAGGTTATTGAAAACGAAAAAATTTCGATATACAAATTAGTCGGTATTCTCGACAGAGCAATTATAAGGCTTGAACAGCAGAACTTTGTAACTGAAAAAAAAAATTATGTCTGTTTATAGAATTAAAGAGAAAGTATTAGCGCATAAAACGAAGCAACTTAAACAACTTACATTGAAAGAAATGTTTAATAAAGTAAACAAATAAATATTAAGCTTTTTTTTTTTTTTTTTTTTTTTTTGTAAATTTTGATACCCTTTAGATCATAATTGCTCTTTATTTCATAAATTACGGTTTCATATTTTTAATTTTGTAATTTCTGCATGCCATCTTACCAGATTTAAACTGGATCTATAATCCGGAATTTCCGAAGTCTCGACGAGACCGGATTAACGACTTTTGACTGTATATATATATTTCAGGTAAACCATCTAATGATCCTAATCATCCAGATTATGTGCCTTCAATTTTTAAGCACAAAGTTCAGGACAGGCAAACAAAAAAATTGCTCGTTTCCAGAGGTTAGCAGAACTTAATAAAATATTTCATGAATCATCTGTTACAGAAAATGAAGGTAAATAAATAAAGGTTAATTCAAAACATGGTTATATTCACTCTAATGTTTTAAATCAATAGCATCTAAATTTTCAAAATATCTTAGCAGTATAATCTTAAAAGCTAAGGCTTATGCTTTCTGACAAAAATATATCAAGGCCAATGCACAGAATTTAATATTTCTAAAATCCATTGTTGATATTAAATCACATTGTTTGGCAACAATGTATGCATGTTAATAGTAAAGTACAAAATCCGAAATCTGGACATCCAATCCAGAATGATCTAAAATCAGGACCTCAAAACCACCAATAACTTTTTTCTCATACGCTTTACGCATTTGATTCCCCCCTTCTGCGCATAATATAACATCTAGAGAGTCCCGATTCTTAATTTCACTTTGATACTAAATAAAATACCTTGTTATTGAAGAAACAATCATTTTAGCATAAATTTGTACAATCAATAATTTGGCTCGGTTGCTGCGTATCTGCTTGGCACACATCTCAAACCGAAACATTCCACACAGATACATCTTTGCTGATGCCAACCTGGCAAA